CTATTATAAATCCAGAATGTACTCTCAGCATAATGCGGCTTATAATGGGAATAATCAAGAAATTGTGTACACCATCTTTTATAAAAAATAGAAGTAGCAGTAAATCAATATGAGATTGTGAGCATGTGCAAATGTATCATGGTTTTCTCATTTAATTGTGATCCAAAGTAAAGTTTAAAATCAATACCAGAAATTGTTCATAAAAATAAACAGAAAAATTGTTTTTTATAATTACTTATTTTTTTTTGTTTAGAAAACATGCAACTGTAAGTAAGAATTTTTTTACATATAAAGACTACTTATAATAATAATTTATAATATAATTGCATTATATTATACAGAAAATCGTGTAATTTTTAAAAAATTAGAAAATAATCAATTTCTACTTTTAACATGCAGACACTAAGAAAGAAAACCAGTCCTTTAAAATGTGAGTAAAACATTTAAGTACTGGTGAACATAAATTTTTAAGTGTATTTCTGATATAACATTGTGCATGTTTCTTATGTTTCGATTCATAAGAAGTAGTCTACAAAAAAGCGTTAAAAAAGATGTACCTGTTTAAATGTGTGGATTTTGTTTCTTTATTGGAGGAACTATATAAATATGTACTGATTTTTTTAAAATTCCAGACAAAAACGAGACTTCCCGTTTTCTTGGAGAAGGGATGAGTTTCAAAGCAAAACTCATAGGAATTTTAGAAGTTTCTGAAGCTAGAGGAGACAGAATGTGCCAAGAAGCGCTGTCTGATTTAAAAATAGCTATTCGTGCAGCTGGTGAACATAAGCAAAGAATTATTATCAACGTGGCTATTGATGGATTAAGATTGCGTGATGAAAAAACTGGGGTAATTATAGAATGTACAAAACCCAACTTATTTAATTATATTTTTTGTTGAAATATTGCTTTAGGATTCATTATATCATCACCCTGTCCATAAAATTTCATTCATTGCCCAAGACATGACAGATTCCAGAGCCTTTGGTTACATATTTGGTTCACCAGATACAGGTCATCGATTTTTTGGCATTAAAACAGATAAAGCAGCAAGTCAGGTATAAGTAGCATTGGATATGTTAATGATAATAACTAGCATGGCGTTTTTAGGTCGTTATAGCAATGAGAGATCTGTTTCAAGTTGTATTTGCATTAAAGAAAAAAGAAATTGAACTAGCCAAACAAAATCTTGAAAAAAATTATGGTTTTAACAGAGATAATTCCAATGTAATACCTGAAAGTGTAGCTTCAGATAGTAGGGTAAGGATAATGCAATTTTATTAAATATTAATCAGTAAATATTTTGTTTAACAAGTTTTAAATAACATTTTTTAGGATATCAGTTGCAGTAGTACCGTTAAAAATTCGTCAGCATTAAAATCTCATAGCACAGAAAACAAGTCAAGTACCCCAGTTGTCGCAAATTTAGTAGACTTGGAAATCGAACTAACAAACTTGCAACAAGGTATTTCACAAATTGAACGACTTACACCCTCCAACGATCCATTTGAAGATAGTTTTATAAGCTACACTGTAAGTTAAACTAAAGCATTGCCAATTTATTTGCTTAGATCAGTAGTATACATACATTGTATTATAAAACAACAATATACATTAAAAGTTGATAATAATTAGCAATACAGAAAGTCTTATACAAACGTGAGAATACTCTGTACCCGCAGANCATTTGCGTTATGTGTGCGGCAAATAACTTTTTATTATTATTATTATTTACGAAAATTATCTAGAAGGCATTTTAATTTATTTATATAACAAATATTTCTATAAAATTCGCATTCCACAAGCAAGTTCATGTATATTATAATAATATCTACTTAAACGAATGCTTATCATTCTCATTTTTATTATTTATCATTTACAGGTGAGGTTAAGTTACTAACGAAAAACAAGAACTACTAAACGCAAAGAAACTTTGGAGATGGATGATGAGGCCGAAACTTATAAACTGTGGAGAATCCGTAAAACAGTAATGCAACTTTGTCATGACCGAGGTTATCTTGTAACGCAAGACGAATTGGACCAGACTTTAGAACAATTCAAAATGCAATTTGGTGACAAGCCCAGCGAGAAACGACCTTCCAGAAGCGACTTAATAGTTTTAGTAGCCCATAATGATGATCCGACCGACCAAATGTTTGTATTTTTCCCTGATGAACCCAAAATAGGAATAAAGACAATTAAGACTTATTGTCAAAGAATGCAAGATGAAAACATACATCGAGCAATAATTGTTGTCCAGCAGGGAATGACTCCTTCAGCAAAACAGTCTTTAGTTGACATGGCTCCAAAATATATTCTAGAGCAATTTTTAGAATCAGAGCTACTTATTAATATTACTGAGCATGAACTGGTTCCTGAACATGTTGTTATGACACCAGAAGAAAAACAAGAATTGCTTGCTAGATACAAATTAAAAGAGAACATGTTGATGAGAATACAAGCAGGGGATCCTGTTGCCAGATATTTTGGATTGAAGAGAGGACAAGTTGTAAAAATTATAAGATCGTCTGAGACAGCAGGAAGGTACATTTCTTACAGACTAGTTTGCTAGTGGTAACTAAAACTTGTTACAATTGAAAAATATAATCTTATAAAAGTAGATTCTAGATTCTAAAAATAAATAAAGTTTGAAATAGATTAGTTTTATTTTCAAATGAGAAGGTTTTCATTGTAAAAAATATACACCAGCGAGCATATACAATGGGAAGTAACTTGCTTAATTTGTACTCTTCAGCAAAATAACAAATTATCTCTGGTAGTATAAAAGGAATTACAGTTCTTACCGCTGGCAACACTATCGTTTCAACTTCAACGCAGTTCTATTAACCCGATTTTAATTTTATCTATGATTTTAATAAATAATAAATTAGTTAACCTATACTTCAATCTTTTGTTTTAGACTTATTGCCGCAATGGTTTAAAGAAACAGTTATAATTTACAACATAATGTTTAATTATTATGTACTGTCTATTTTTGATTTAATGTTCTTGAATAGTTTAATAAGTGTATACCTTTCCATAGTGACCCATTGAAGTGTAGGATAATCAAATAAAAAATGGTACTATCACGAACGGAAACGAATTTGCGGAGACTTCTTGCGAAATGTGATCTAATGGTAAAGACCAATCAAAAAGGCGACGAAAGATTCCCAAAATATTTGGACTCTTTAGAAAATATGTTGAAGCAGCTTTCTGAATTACCAGAGTAAGAAGGCACTTCTACTTTTGCAATATTAATTATTGTAATCGTTTAATGCTTTATTAAAATTTAATAATTTAATACCTCTCAATTCATCATAGGAAACCTCCAAGAGAAGCAACTGCCGAATATAGCAAGAGAATTACAAGTTTGAGGATTTTGCTTGGACTTAATGTTTCAGAGGAACTTAGAAAATATCAGTTTGAAAACTTGCCACTTACAAACACAGGAGTAAAAGAAAATAATGATTTATCAGACAGAGAAAAATTATTAGGTAGTTGTAAGTAAATTGTTAGTGTTTAAATTAAATGCTTATATTTAAGGTCTCAGACAAAGACAAGTATACCAAGCAACAACTGGCTTGGATGAAATTATTGATTATAATCAGCAACTACAAGAAAAAATTGCAGAAGAAATGTTAACTATGGCCAAGAACTTAAAAGAGCAGTCAGAACTCGCTAATAAAATAATTAAAAAAGATACTGAAGTAATTTGTTAATAACAAATTAAAATCATCAATAGTTTTAAACATATACTTTTAGGTAATCAGTAGGTCTTCACAATTATCTGAAGAAAATTTTATAAAATTAAAAACTGAATCCAGTACATTAACTGAACAGTCTAGAAAAGCTTGGAAATGTTGGCTGTGGATTTTGCTACTCATAGTACTTGTAGTGTTTATATGTAGGAATCATTCATCATTTAATTGAAAAGTGCATTTAATTTGATATTTTTGCAGATATGGTTCTATTTATGAAAATAATGAAGAAAAAACGTTGATTCATAAATAAGGACAATTTTCTGTATTCCACTCTACAGCAAAAATATAATCAATTTTTAGAAGTAAGCGATGGAATGGTAATAGGAAGAAAAATGGGGCCAAAGGTCATTTTGTAGGTGTTTTTTTTATTAGTTGTTACTATTTATTATCGAAAATTAATTTTTCAAAATAAAAAACGTTAAACTAGTCTTAAAAAATTGTTTCATTTCCTTCCTAAATGAAAAAGTACTTCTGACAATAAGGATAAAGGGCTACTATCAAGTCATTGATTAGTTGTATTTATACTTATTTGAAAAATGAAATAAATATTTGAAGAAGCACTACTTACATGAATTTAATAATCTCAATATTAGTAACAGAATATTAGTTTGAGGTGAGAGGCAGGTCCTTCCTTTTACTGAACCACCTATTGAAGTCTAACCGATGAAGTAATTGGAGTAAGTGAGGCCCAGAGACGCGCTCATGTAAGTTGTAAAGAACCCTCAGGAGTACTTGCATAAGAGTATCGCATTCTGCCTTCATTTCCTCAAGTTGTTTTAGTTCTGGTTCCTGAAGATTATTTTCCCATGTTAAAGCCAAAAAGCAGAACTTGTCACACAGTTGCAGTATTTGAAGGATGACTTTGTAAACCTTAAGTATAAAAAACACGTCATCTTTAAAGTAAATGAATAATAAAAAGTTCTTACTAAATTTTCGCCTTCTGTGTGCATTACGGCGGGAGTTTGGTACAGCGAATGGTGCTGCTTATTTTCTTGATCTGAGGTTTCGTCAGTGGCCAGTAGAAAAGTTTTACTTAACAAATTCGAAAGAAAAATTGAATGATGGCGAGCAATCTGACCGAATTCATGCGCGTTTTTGAAAGACCCTTTCAAGATTGAAAACTGGCCTTCAATCACATCAACTTGTAAATAATATTGTATATTGTTAACTACAAACATCAGCGTAGTACGAAGACTCCATACCATTGGGTTTCTACAACAAAATCGCATTGAAATAAATAAAACTGGTGAGAAAATAGCAAAAAAATTAATACATTTTGTGTTTGCAGTGAATGTGTAACGACCACAATTTATGAAGATCTATGTGAGTTTTTTTAATTCTTAAAAGATAGCAGAACAATTTATTATACAATTTTAACGTATTTGGGTGAAATATTATATGCAGAGGCCATTTTACTTCAAAATTTACTTCTAAAGATAACAGTGGATCGTTACCTACAAAAAAAAAAACAAACCAAAATATACGGTTTACTAGTTAGAATAAATATATTTTACAGTTATTGTCCTGAACCTTGGCTATAGCAAGTTCAAACTTTTTATGCGTTTTGTCAGTATCACCGTACAATTTTTGTGCCGCTTCCTTGAAAATACAATTAATATTTCCGACTGTAGAAGTGCATGGATTATCTTTCAAACTGTTTTCAGCAGAAACAATGAATTGCTGAAACAGTTCACCTCTTCCTAAACAGAAATAGTCACGAACTAATTGCAAATGTTCCAGCAAATTGGCTTCTTCTACCATGATGTTCCACAAATACTGAAATCGTAAATACATTTTATCTATTTGTGAATAACCAATATTATTAACTAAAATCAATTGTTTAATAAATATTAAAAATGTAAACAGGAAAAAAAGTCACTTTGGCTAAAGTCAACCGGCATTCTTCAATTGTTGCTTCAAATTCCGTTATATTAATTGCACTTTTCTCCAATTTCTGTAATTTTTGATAATACACAACATCTTTTCCTTCCCACACGTCCCTTGTGTATCTGAGGTTTAGTTTATCTTTGGTTTTCTCTTTTGGTCCATTGCTAATTATCCAAACAATCTGTCCTATGAATAATATTACTTCAGCAAGATGTTTAGAATTGTCAAAAGGAAATAACTCTTCTCTTAAAAAAAAACGGCGGATTGGAGGAGGTCTCTTCAGTTTGCTACTTTTCTACAATTTTACATTCATTTTTTTTTTTAATAAATAACTAAAACGTACCAGAGCATCAAAAGCAGCATCACTAAATTTAGTTACTTCCTGATGTGAAGGATCTTCATTAATAAAATTTTCATCTACATCTTTTCCATCACAAATAAAAAATTCATCATTTATATCTAGCAGATCTCCATAAATAATCCAGTTACAGAGTTGACGAAAAAATATTACATTCACAAACTGAATTATCCTACAAAGGAGTGCAGTGATTGTACATTACAAATAATACAAACTTTTACTTCATATCTGCCTCTTACCTGGTAGCAGCTTTGTTTACAGATTCAGTACCACTTTCCAAATATCTTTGTAATTTCCCAATGATTTGACAACCTCTGATACTATCAGACTGGATCATATAAACCATTGACTTCAAAGCATCAAATAATGTTACATACTTTTCTACACAACCAAGAATATATGTTAAATTTATACTGCAATTTTTAAGGAACAACTCCTCCAGTTTTACAATATCTCTTCTATACTCTTCCAAGCATTTATCTACACCTTGACAAAAAGCTTTTACATACAGCCCAGGCGTAGCACACTTTGTTGCAATCTTATCTTCAAATTTAATTACTGAATCTAAAACACATAGTTTCTATAACTTTTCAATATAACTAAAACTTGTATCTTTATTATTAATGCAATCAAACTCAAAAAATAAACCTTTTTCAATATTTGTCTGAAGATTAATGATATTTTGGTCTGTTACAGATTTGATAAAATTTTCAATACAGTGATAGCTAGCACCCACTGCCAAAATTCTTTGATGAAGTTTCTTCTCACTTGGATGAATGAAATCTTGTACTTCTAAGATGTCAGACAATCCCTATAACAATAAAAGTTTACTTAACGTACACACGACATACACATTTCTTATTAATGTCTGTAATGTGTAGGTGAGGGTTCTGAAATTTATTAAGAGCAATTAAGGAATAATTAACTAACATCAACGTCGTATGTCCCAAATACGTTTACAGGGCAATTCAATAAATAAAGTAATGTTTCGTGTATCATACTTTCCAAGATAAATTCTATTTAACTTATATAAAAGATAAATATAAATTTATTTGAATTTCACTGTCACAAGTGTCAGTGGCATTAACGGTACCACTTATATATTTATTTAACCTATGGTAGGTGTCGACCATGGGTGTGTTCCGAAATATAACCCAGCATACTAGCCAGTGCCGAATGAACGTCATGAATCGACGCAACATTGTACTGGTGAGAGAGACGTAGTAGTCTATCAAATGGGAATGTGTGCATCAGACTTTGAGGAATTTGTTATTATAAGAAACTATTAATTTTGCAGCAAAATTGTTGCAAACGACCACAAACACTATTCTCAATATGGCGTTAATTTGACGTCAACGCACTGGCAGAGAAGGCACTGGCAGAGGCACTGGCTAGTATATTTCGAAATAAATCAACAGTATGGCGTCGATTCATGACGTCATTAGCACTATTTCGGAACACACCTTATATATAACAGATATATAGGAGGTCACACAGACATATATTATTGGACGTGCCTTAGCCGTATGTCATTGTAATAATTTCTTGGATCGAAAAGTGAGGAAGATGGCGTATGGCTTCGGACTAGTGCTATCTCTTTTATGACACGCTTACGCATTATCGTGAGAGAGATGGATATTGTCCGAAACTTCGTTCCATCTCTTTCTTTTATTGTACCACAATTCTGACCGCTAAGGCATGTCCATTAGTAAACGTCGATGGGAGGTCAAATCTGCGGCTGTCAGTGATGGTCATAGATGTGAGAATAGAATCCATAAACAACAACCACTGACCACTTGTCATCTTCACTGATGATGACCTTCGAGCTGGCGAATGGACCACAACGCCGGGCGCTAAGTACATAATAATGATACGAGTGGAGTTACTGTATGTAGCGAGTCTTATTGGTTAAGATTTCCCGCGCGCGCCCATTTTAACACCTCACGCACACACGCGAATTATTTTTATATTATTATTGTTAATTAATAAATGTTTTTGTGGATATCGATGGTTTTAGTACTCCCGTTACACCTATCGTCCACAAATCCATAGTAATCGCAGTGCTCTCTACTATTTTATAAAACTTTCTAGTGTTTCACTATAGAGATATTCACATATCATAATATTGTCTATGGTATTAATATAATCCTATAAATAATGAAAGTTTCTTTTCTATGATGAAAGTTCGTGTGATGTTTGGCAAATAAATAATAAATAAAAATCTCTTTAAGGGGACTAGAGAGGCGATATAAAATGAAGTAAATAGCGAATTAAAAGGGAGCTAAAAGAAATGAATTTATTAGAAAAATGTCATCAGAGAATGGTATTTTATTATTATTTACAATA